GGGCCGGGCTCCCCCACCGCGTTTCCGCCGGGCTTCGGCCGTGCGCGCCTCGCCGGCGCCTCCTCCCCGGGAGAGGACCGGAGCCTCTCGGGTTTGCACTTGTGCGCGCCGCGGCGGGCGCTGCAGCATCGGCTCTGCCGGCCTTTGTGTGGTCTCAGCCCGCTGGCTTCCTACCAGCAGTCGGGGAGGGGGGAAACCCTTAAAAACCCTCCTCAATAGCCAGTCCAGGAGTGCGGGGAGGGGGTACAGTTGCCTTGAAGATCCCTTGGTATTTATAGTTTGTTCTCTTGAAAATCCCTTCGTATTTAAAATGAACCGACTGGGCTTTATCTTAGAGGTATACCTTTAAACAACACAGTAACAGTGGCTCTTTGGGATCTGTAAGGGAGGCTTATCAGGGCAAAACGTGTGGCTTGGCAAAGACGCAACTCGGGAATGAAAGAAAGAAAGCTGTAAGGGTTTTAAGGCTGCAACAGAGGGAAGAATGGAATTTTGGGGGGGGTAGGAAAGGAATGTAATTGAGGCTGACAAAATTAAATTTTTTGTCTCTTAATTACATGGGTGAAAATGAGAAAAACTCCAAGAAAATGAGAACAATGAGATTTTGAAATGGCCTTCCATTGGACGGATTCCACAGCCCCGTAACCTAATTCTAAAAGATTTGTAAGGCAATCTCTTGATAGGTTCTTCATCTGAAAATCTTCTCCTGAGCGATAGTTACTAACTCTCATCCATCTGGATTTCCCATTCGGAAGTTAAAAATACTTATTATGTGGATTTCAGTTGCCTGTCTTTATTTCAGTATTAAATGTCTTCATGCAGTGCGTGCTTATGCATTTAAGACCACATATGTCAGATGTGTGTGGGCAGATGAGTGTGAGCACAAATTAATTGCGAACATGAGAAAAAGACCAAAGGTTTTCCTTTGTGCTTCATACTTCGTCGGGCTATTGCAAATTTTATAGCAGCGTGGTCATTAATGAGGTGTAAAACACGGCTATAACAGATTAAGTGGAAACAGGAGTCTGAACTTACGCATGTTTTTCGTCTCATCCTGCAGGATGAAGAAACACGTAAAGATTATGACTACATGTTGGATCACCCCGAAGAGTATTACAGGCATTATTATCACTACTACAGCAGGAGACTGGCACCTAAAGTGGATGTCAGAATAGTGATTCTAGTTACGGTGTGTGCCATCTCCGTGTTTCAGGTAAAATCTCGTGTTTACGTGATACTGCTTGGTGCGTTTCTGAATGGGAAGAGAAGTATCTGCAGCTCTCGTAACGTGCCAGGTATTAAACAGTGTTAGTGAGGAGGCCCGTTCCTACCCGCTGTGGTAAACTTCTGTGTGGTGTCCATAACAAATCTGAACTCAGGGTGTACTGAGGAGATTTTTGACTGCCGTTGGTACCTTGGACAAAGGTAGAGATTGGTTTCTTTTAATGCTAGGAGATTTCATAGAGACAAGTGCAGCTTTTCTAAAGAAGTTACTTAGTTAGAAGTTACTGAGAATAGCCTGCTCCTGAGCACAGGCAGGACTAGTGCTCCAAATAAGCGTGTGTCACTTTGTCAAACTGCATACGTAATTTTTTAAAAACCAGGCTAACTGCAAACTAAATTCAAGACTCAATTCAGATGATAGGACTGAATATCAGGAGTTTACTAATCTTACATGGGAATCTTACATTGCAGTGTATTTTAAAGCCCACAGTGAAGTCAGGAGAGAAGTGAATTCGGAAAAAAATTCAGCAAAGTTTGCTCTGAAGGTGGTAGTTCCAAGGTCAAGAAGACAGCCTGTGTTTTAGATGAGAAAACTTGTGCTATTGCTGACAAATACTTAAGTGGAAGAAGGTGCATAACTCTCTTCTTTAGTATCTTTTAGGTTCAAAACATCATTAAAAATACCCAGAAAGTTTAAGAGATGAAGATACAGCTTATTCTGTGGTGCAGATCCCACTTTTTAGTGGGATGTTGGAAGTTAAAACAAAAATACGGTGATCAGAATTTGAGAGCTTGGAATAATAAATTCCAGTGGCATACGCAGCCAAAGACTTAATTTCTCTTCAGACTTACTTCCAATGGCAGACTTTCATTTCACCTCTTATTTCTTATTTTGGCTGCAAGTGGAGATACTCACTTTCCTGCAGTCCAGCTGCCAGATGATTGCAAATTCAGTGTAAAGGTCTGCATAAACTGATTTGCCTCTCTCTTGCTTTCTGTTGTTTCTGCTTCTTGACCTTTCTTAAGGTTGTATAATTTGTACGTCTGCCCTTTGTCTTGGTCAATGGTATGAAATGCTACTTTTTTTTAAAAAAGTTGCCCCAATAAGACATGTTCACCCCAGGCACTATGTTTCTGGTTCATTTGGGTGGGTTTGGTTTTTTTTTTTCCCCCATTGAAATTCAGAGGGTAGCTGGAGATTAGAGAGGGATGTTGATCCTGTCAGACTAATGAGATTTTCACGTACTTAATCCACATTTAATTAACTATTTTAAATGGGTAACAATTTTATAGTGAAATGTTCATATACCAGCTACTTTATTTATAAATCCAAGGGGGCTTCTGAGAATGGCCAGCGCAGCCTAGCATTAGGCTTCAGGAGATTATCATCTTCTCATGAACAAAACCAATCTGAACAGTGTCTGCTTGTCCTTCCTCATTGCTGTATATTGCTGTGAGATAGACATCTATACGTCTGTTTTCCAGGTGCCTTACTAAGTTTGGAGGAATAATTGTAGCTTCTGTAATACTGCAGAAGTAGTACTATTACCTTAGTTTTTACCCTTGCTGTAATGTAATTGTGGTTAAAGGTGTATGACAGCATTATTTTTTTTCCTGGCAAACCTCCAAATAGGAATGTGTCTGTTTAAAAACACGGTTTTTACTTGTACTGTTCTTCAATTACAGTTCTTCAGCTGGTGGAGTAGTTACAATGAAGCTATCAACTACCTAGCTACAGTGCCAAAATACCGCATACAAGCCACTGAGATTGCCAGGCAGCAAGGTTTACTCAACAAGAGTAAAGAAAAAGGCAAGAACAGGCGGTCTAAGGAGGAAATTCGCGAAGAAGAGGAAGAAATCATCAAAGACATTATTAAAAATAAAATCGATATAAAAGGCGGTTATCAGAAGCCCAAGATATATGATATCCTTCTGTTTCAGATCCTTCTCGCCCCTTTTTACTTGTGCAAATACGTGGTTTGGTACTGTTGGTGGATTTATTGTTTCACTATTAAAGGGCAAGAGTACGGTGTGGAAGAGAAGCTGTATATCATACGAAGGTACATGAAAATGTCTCAGTCTCAGTTTGACAGCCTAGAAGATCATCAAAAAGAGACCTTTCTGGAACGGCAACTGTGGATACGAGAAAACTATGAGGTGGGTATCTCTGGCGGAAAAGGTAATATTAGTTATCCAGCACTCCCAGAGTAAGAACAGCTATTTTGTGAAGGTGCTTGGGATGGGGCTGTGTGAAGCATTGCTTCAATTTTAGCTGTTGCTTTCTAGACTGAAAACTGTTAGACAACCACATGGTGTGTTTTCTTTGACTTGTTATGCTCATGGAGTGGTAGACAGCAGCTCCTGACCATGGCCGTGGATATAGGAGGGGATTTGCTCAGGCAGGGGACATCCACCTGCGGTTGTTAGGGACTCTGTGCGTACAAGACCTAATTGAATCTGGTGAAAGGCTTTCTTACAACAATGTGGTATGACAAAGTTATTACAGCAGGTTGAAGACTGTTCTCCAAACCGTAATAATTTGTAATAAGGATTACCTGGATCATCCGAAACTCCTATTCCACCAGTCTTCTAAGCCATTAATTCCTCACTCTTTTTTTTTTTTTTTTTTTTTTTTTTTTTTTAAACTGTCCCTTGATGGTTCTTTGGCCTTCAGTGAGTCAGGGACTGTTCTTGCTGTGCTGTATACCTATTCAAGTAAAGACGGTATATGAAATACCATTGAGCACAACTCCTACTCTTGCCATGGGTAGCCAGTTACTAAATAGTCAATCTAATTTTTTTTTTTAAGCTTTCTGTGAGAGCAGTGCAAGAACATTAACCACAGCATGGAATTGCAGTCCAGAATGACTTAGGATGACGGGGGGTGGCAGATTGACAAAACACTTTCATTGTTCCACAGAAGCTCATCTGTGAGCCATCTGGGTGGGAGGTTCCTAGAAGAAAAACTGAGAATACAAACTTGGCCTGCTTAAGGGGAAAGAGGAGATGTTGCTGCTGCTCTGCATACGCTGGGAAAAGAAATGGGATGGTGGGAGAACAGCCTTTGCTGCTGGCAGGTCACCAAAGATAAGAGAATGCTTCTTTAGAAGTAGGCAGGGGTGGATTAATCTAGAAACCGGAAGAGGAAGATAGTAAAATTGATGCTAATGTAAGGAAAGGATTAGCCGACAGGTACATCTACATGTTGAATTATGATGGGTTTGCTAGAAAACAATCTGGAAGTCCAAAGGTCGAGTAACGTTACTAGTCAAAGCAGATGTTAACATGGAAAAAGTAAGATAGGATGGATATCCTGGTGTTGTAGAGAAAAAAGGACATGGTTTGGGATCCGTGCTGTTTCTAACTAGTGATGTTTTGGTCACTGTATATAAAAGAGCTGTATTTGCCAGAAGTGACGTCTGTTTAGCCCAAAGTCATCTCCTGTGGTGGCCAACAGTTGATTTTTAGTGAAGAATACATGAAAAATGCACATATATAGCAATGTTTATCCAGTATAATTCGCAGCTTTGGAACTCCCTGAAAAGGAAATGGTGTCTTTGTACGTAATTGCTTTAATGAGTTTTTCTTTAGTAAACTTATCTGGTCACTCCTTGAATGCATTAAAACTTCCAGTGTCTGCTGTGCCATCTGGCCATGAGTTCAGCAATATATGTAGAAGGGGTTTTTTTTGAGGCCACCCAGACACCTGCTCGTTCTTGTCTTATTGGAAGTGGAGAACAATAATGCTTTATTCTCTTTGCTCGTGCTAGCTGTGCTCCTGTGTATGGCTACCATATCCTTACTTGAAACTTTTCCATGTCTTTTCTAGGCTGAAAAATACGCGTAGGTGTTTGTCCCCAAAACTTTCTCTGTTCTTTGATCATTGGAGATGCCTATCTGCATATTGTTCAGTTTTCCAGTGTCCTTTTAGGGTGGGAAGGACGGAGAATTCAGTACGTGGGTATATCATGGAGCTCCACAATATTTTTTTTTTTCCCCTCTGTTGCTTTCCTAAAAATTCTTAAAACCTGTATGATTACTGAACATTGAGCTGGTGTATTTATAAAGCCATCTATAATATTCTAAAAATCTCGTTCATGCATAGCAGAACCTTAACTTTAATTCCCTTCCGTGAAGAAGTCAAGTGACACTGAGATGACGTAAACCTGTATGGTGTTGAGATTTACACTGGCTGTATCTACATAAACTGCCTTCCAGAATAAAAATGCAGATGCTGTTGCTTTTTTTTAGATACTTGACTTTGCTGATAATTGTAGATTTCATTACAATGACACCATTTCTTGACAGAATGTAATTACTTATCATGTGGTACTGCCAGTACTTAATACAGAGATACTCAGTTAGCTGAGAAACTTAACCAGGAATAAAAAGTTCCATAGCAGTGTTCTATCTAGACAATGACTTTAAAGTGGGAAAACAACTAAAGTGAGGAGCTGAGCAACTGCATTGAACAGTATGTGTGCCGAGAAGGGACTCAAAATTTAGGTTTCTGAGCATTAGCAGTTCTTTACTGTAAATTTTATTTTGCCGAATGCATGAGCATCTAGTTGTTTAGCAAAAAAAAAAAAGTTTTGGAGCCTGCAGCACCGTCTTACAAGGAGGTAGTTCTGCTATCAGCAAAAATGCAGAGCATCTCAACTACAGCCAGTAGGCGCCTTGGCTGAAGGCACTCCTGCACTTTATATTGGTCAGGGTCTGCTTCTATGCTGCAATTCAGTCTTCTGTAAGAATGATAAGCTGGCAAATGGTTGAACTATGAATGCTTGCACCCCCCTAGAGGTTCACTTAAGCTGTTTCTTCAACCTCATTAAAAACTTTTGTCTGTCTGTCAGGTCTATAAAAAAGAACAAGAGGAGGAGTTAAAGAAGAAGATGGCCATGGATCCTCGATGGAAGAGATATCGGAGGTGGATGAAAAATGAAGGACCCGGAAGACTGACTTTTATTGATGATTGAATGTTGCTGAACAAAATGTGTGCTAATGTTGAAAGTGATTTGCAAAACTTTTCACTACATCATTCAAGAGTTTTGTCTGCTGTGGCTCAGCAGCGATCTAAAACTCAGGAATTACTAAATCAGGCTGAAAAAATAATACAGGTTTACCATTTTTATAAATCAGACCTATTAAACAGGCTCAACTCAATGTATATATGCCATTTATTTGGGGATCTCAGTGTGGAATTCATTATTCCAAACAATGTATTTTCTCTACATATTTCATATTCATGATCAATGGAACCATAACTTTAGTCTTTCTGTAAATGTTTCTAGATCAGTCCTTGCAAGTCCTGTTTTTCCTTTTTAAACTGAAGGGTTCCTGCACATGGACACTGGAAGTGCTTATAAAGGATTCTGAAGCAAGGACCATTTTCTGTTTTCCTCTCTCTTTCCCCTACTTTTCAATCTAATTTCTAAGATGCCAAATTTTTTTTTTGATGTAAACAATATGGGGATTATACCAGACTACTTCTTTTGCTATTCCTGCTCCAGTTGGAAATGAATTTTATTCTTTGTGGGAATAAATGATGCATGATTGATCATCATCGTGATGCAAACAAGCCTTAATTCTTTGTTCTACAGAGTGATTCATGAATAGTACAGTTAGAACTTCTGCGTTTGGTTTTTCATCTTGTATGTTGGATTGTACCTGCTTGTTCAGAACAAGTATACCAGTGAATATTAGTCTACTAAATGTGACATTTCTTTCACCAAAGTATTGGTAAAAGGGACAATGACCCTTTTGTTAAAAAGGGCAATTTTGATGCCTTATGTAAATAAAAGTTTATATAATACACGTACTGAATTTGTTTTAAATTCTGAATCTAAAGTATTCTTTATCTCTTCTGATCAGACCTCAGAGTACTTGGAATAAATAATGCACAACAGCATGCTGTGGTTTCCTCTGTAACTCAGCCCAGGTCAGAGTTTCCATGATTTGCTGGTAAAAAGGGTTCTGTTACTTATTTCTATTCAGGAATTTTACTGGGGCAGGGGCAGGCGGGGAGCGTAGCCACGCGGGGCTGCTGCCGTCGTTTGTCACATCTGTCAAAGCGGGTTCCTCAGAAGTGCTTCTGCTGAAGATGGTGCTAGGTTAGCTGGCCTCTGCGGAGACTGGTTCTAGGAGAGAAGCTCTTGAACTTGCTACTCCTGCCAAAGCCCACAATAGCTAAAAGTTTCAAATGCTTATGGATTGATTTTTGAAGGAAGACGTTTCTGATTCTGCAAAGGTGACCTCTCCTCATTCTTTGAGAAAGAGTTTCTGTTCTCTGTCCCTCTTTTGCTAGTTTAGCTTTCGCTAGTTCTTGGAATGTTATCTCAGTTTTCTGTTTAAAACAATAAATATTCAAAAGCACGTTGGAAGCGTTACACTACATGGCTAACTCCTGTACACATTAGTAAAATGGAGGAGGAACTGCTGGATTTGTTCTTCATCTCTGCTGCATGCAGCGTACCGATAAACTTAATTTGCTTTGTATTTAACGGTCAATTCAAACCTAAAACTTGTTAAGGTACCTAGAATAAGCTGTGCTTGCTTTCATGACGTCGTCTTGGGGACGCTGCGGTGGTGTGGCAGGGACGCTGCCAAGACGTTCGTGACGGGGGAGACCTGCACAGCTGGGGCGTGTTGCTGCTTTGTCCCCCAAAACACAGTTGGCCTCCTGCAGGAGCGGAAGGGGGACGATTAGGTTGCTGTGGTAGAAACAAAGGGAATAAAGGCAAGCACAGGTAAAATGGTGTTGGCTATTAGGTAACAACAGTTTTATCTGGAAAAGAACCAGGCAAGTGCATGCAAGAGGATCTAAACCCGTGGCCGCAGTTTCGCAGGCTAACGGCTCTGCTGCTCTTGTGCCTCATCTTGCTCCATCCTTTCCCTCCCGAGCCAAGTATTTGGGTTATACGAAAGCAGTCAAACCACAGATCTGTTTTCCCTTTTTGCCCAGGTTAGTTCTAGTCAGGATTAATTTCCTGGCCTGACGCTGTGGCAGGGAATCGGTGCAGCGGAGGGGGCAGTCCCTGGGGAGGGCAGAGCTCTGCCTTTCAGCGGCAATGGTGTCCTGTCCCTGTGAAACTGTGGCCTGACACCAAGTGAGTGGAGAAGGGAAAGTCGGCAGGTGTTGTACGACCTGCTGGAAATGAGCCGTTCTGCAGGCTCAGCTCACAGTTCCCTCTTTTCTCGACATATCAGCCCTTTGAAAATAACCAGACGCAGGCATAAATCATGGGTTGCAGCAAATATTTGCTGGGCAGTGACACTGCAGTCACATCTCCGTGATGAGGGACAGAAAGAGCTCGTGTGTCTTTACAAAGCTGTCAGCATTGCAGGGACACCTCGTTAGCTGAGGCTGCTGAGCATTTCTAGCCTAACATCTCACTGTAGTTCTAAATGATGTCTGCCTTTTGGGCATAAACTTTCAGGCCCTATTTTATCTTGAAATTAAGTTGACAAAGCGGTTATACACATCAGAAAAAAAAAAAAGCAGGCATGAGACTGCTGAGAGTTACAATACTATACCCAGTAAAGCCCGTGTAAATTGAGATGACTTCAGAGAGAAGTGTTTGCATGAACAACAAGTATTGTTGGTACGGGGTAGCGGTGAGATCTTTGCGTGGGAAAGTGCAGCAAGGTCATAGGATCTTGGAGAAGAGCCACCTTACCTCCTATCAACTTTTTTCAAAGAACCACGTCTGTTTTGTAGCACGGGTGTACTTTCAAATATATAGTGTTTATAAGGTGAAACATGCATTTCACTCAATGTGCAAAAGGTAGGTAGAGCCAGGGCCTTTCACATTCAGCGCGAGTCTTTTCCACGACCATGCTGAGGCTTTGACTGTGGCTCCGGCATGTCCGTGGCTGGGTGTCCCTCGGTTCAGAGCAATCGTTTGAGGCTACGAGCTTCATCCCGCCAACTTTTTAACAGGCCAGCAAACTCTGATGGCTGGCAAACCCCTGCCAGAAACTGAAGTGACTTATTTACGGCCACTGGGGAAACGATGATGAAGAGCGCGGGGGGGATGCAGCAACACTGGCAGCAGTTTGAGCCCAACAGCTGCCTGTGGGCAGAGCGGGCTTTTCGTTAAATCTTGGCGGGACGTTTAGGAGGTCTCTTTCCTCTCTTCCCCTCTTTCCCCCATTTCTCATCTTTTTTTCTTTTTTCCTTTTTCTTTTTACCTTTTTTCTCCCCTTTTTTTCCCTTTATTCTCTTCTCTCCTTTTTCCCCTCTTCCCCCTCTTTTTCCCCATTTTCCTTTTTTCTTCTTTTTTTTCACTTTTTTGCCTTTCCCCTCTTTTTTCCCTTTTGTTCCCTTTTTCCTCCTCTTTATCCCCCTTTTTTCCTTCCCCCCTTTTTTCCTTCTTCCCCCGTCTTTTTCCCATTTTCCTTTTTTCTTCTCTTTTTGCTTTTTCCCCTTCCCCCTTTTTTTCCCCTTTGTTCCCTTTTTCTTCCCATTTCTCCCCTTTTTTCCCATTTTCCTATTTTCTTCTTTTTTCTTTTTGCCTTTTCCCCTTTTCCCCCCTTTTTTCCCCTTTGTTCCCTTTTTCCTCCCCTTTCTCCCCCTTTTTTCCTTTCCCCCTTTTTTTCCCTCCCTCCCTTTTTTACCATTTTCCTATTTTCTCTTTTTTTTTGGCTTTTTCCCCTTTTCCCCCCTTTGTTCCCTTCTTCCTCCCATTTCTTCCCCTTTTTTCCCCATTTTCCTATTGTCTTCTTTTTCCCTATTGTTCCCTTTTTCTCCCCTTCCCCCCCTTTTTCCTTCCCCCCGTCTTTTTCCCATTTTCTTCTTTTTTCTCTCTTTTTTTTTGCTTTTTTCCCCTTTCCCCCCTTTTTTCCCCTTTGTTCCCTTTTTCCTTTTTTCTTCCCTTTCTCCCCCGCTTTTTCCCTCTTCTCCGTTGTTGTCCCCTTCTCCCCACCTTTTCTTTTCCTTTTCTTCCCTGCCCCCCGCCCCGTCCTATTTTAACCAAGAAGGTTTTCTGCCC